TTTACAAAAACTAATATTGTATGGTAGTGAAAGGAATTTGACCTTGTGGAAATTACACCCACTCTTAGTTTTAAACTATACAATTCAAAATTATGATCTAAAAGTTTTCTATTGGCTGTAGTGTTTGAGATGATGATTTTGCTGCCTGGAGGTGGTGGTTCTGGTAACTGTGGTTTCGATGGCGATGAGGCGGGTTACAATGGTGAGGTGGTAGTCGCAAATAATTTGGTTAATGGTTATCAATAAATTGGTTAATGTGTGATCAATAAATAATATTTGATCAATGAAATAAATAAATAGTGACTAATAAATAATGTGTACCTAAAAATTTATTAATTTGTGATCAATTAATTTGATATTTTGTGACCATGAAATAAGTCGTGACTTATAAAATTTGTGATTTGTGATCAACGAATAATATTTGACTTATTAATTTGATAAATTTGTGACCTATAAAATTTTTAATTGTGATCGAGAAATTCTTTGTAACCAATTAATTCGATAATTTGTGATTATATTATATAGAACTGTGACCTTATATTTAATTTATAAAATATATATTTATAAAAAATATTTAATTTTTGAAGTTTTAAACCTTTTATCTTAGTTTTAAAACGAGTTATAATTAAACTCTATGATTTTTCCCCGGGAAGATTACCTATTCAAGAAAATAAGTATAGCCTATTTTAAAAATAAGAACACAAGTTTGAAATTTCCAAAATCAGATTTTTATTAAAAAAAATTTAAATTTTTATTTATGAAATAATAAATTATTAAATTAATTTATTATTAAATATTTAATTATAATATAATATAATTAACCCATCCCACCTTCACCATCCCTACCGCTTCGGCGACCGTTCCGATTACCGCCCCACTCCGGCGAACTTTCCGACAACCGTTCCGACGACTACTTTGATTCCGGCGACCGTTCCGATGTCGATTTTTCCGGCGACTGCTCCGCTATATTTTTTTGTACAGTTAACATGTATTTTTTTTACGATCACAACCCAGGTCACAAGTCCCATGTCACAAGTCACAGTTCAGATCACAAGTCACAAGTCAAGAGTCACAGCCCAAGTCACAAGTCACAAATCAAGAGCAATTTTGAATATGTTAAATTCAAATCTGATTTTGAAAATGTGAACCTTCAAATCTGATTTTGAAAATGTTGATACATAAAGCAATGTTTTGTGTAATTACCACTTTTTCCCCTTCGACCTTCTACGGAGAAAATACAAATTAGGCCCAAATATCCACGCAGGGCAATTGCAAGATAGGCCCAAATAATAGTTTCGACCCAGATAGGCCTATTTGTTAAATGACTTTTAATCACTTAGCATCATGAGCTTGAGCCCATACAGTGGACAGTACTGAAGATTTGACTTACATATAAACCCAACATGTCACCGATAAACAATGAGTTTATTTATGAGAAAAATAAACCAAACCATGTCTTTTTTTAAAAATGAAAAAAATAAAAAAATCTTGTCTTTTAGCTCCCTTCTCGCAAATCAGGTTATGTATTTTTTTTTTTTCACAAATAAGATATTTATTATAAAAAGTATTTGAATTTATTATTAATATTTAAAGTATATATTTTAACGAACCATGATAATTGAATTAAAATGATCTAAAATTTAATTTTTAAATTCAAATTCAAATTAATATAATTTCTATTAATCTTATCGTCTTGACTGTGAATTGGATTCTCATATAAAATTTCTTTCCCATTTCACTATTTCATGTCACACACGTTATATATTTTTCGACCTACATTGATCAACCTAACATAATTTACTTTTATATTCAAGTCACGATTCACTCAATAAGGAATAGATAGATGTCACATTTCACATCATCTAGTTACATTACACTGGTTATTTCAAATGCTAGCGAGGATAAGACATACACCATAATTGGCCTATCTTTGACATATTCGTCACAATTTTGGAAGGAGAATCAAGCCGCGAAGGTGAACATGTCATATCACATAGATATATATGGAAAAAACATCACAAATATAATTCACACAGATAGATATATGGACTAATGTATTAGATGTCACGAATAACACAGGACTGATTGTACAATAAATGTCAAAAAGTCTAGCATGTCATTTTCACAAGCCAGATGGGCTAGCGTGTTAGAAGTCGCAACATACGTCAATCGAATCACAATACCATTTTGTTCATGTGCACATAGCAAAGATGAGAATGAAAGGAAAAAAAATACTTTACTGAAATATATATATATATATATCACACTCTGTCCTTGTATATTTACCACTCTATCTAACATTACTCATTGTATATAAATTCATAAATATTTACTTGATTTATGCAAACTTTCTGAAAATTTGATATTTGTGAACCATAAACTTACATGGTGATAGTACGAATTTTTCCTTTGTTTATTGAACACGAATTAAACTTTTAATAATAATAAGAGGATGACAGCTACAAATAATAATAAGATGTGACAGCTACTAATATTGGTAATTAATATTTGGTGAAAATATTTAATACATAAAGTACAACAATGCAATTCTTCCCCATTTAGCCTCCGTCTGGTGCACATTTTTGGAAAAAGAATGTATTTTTACTGTTGATGTGATGAGAAATATATAGTTGAAAAAGAAGGAAAAATTATTAATGTGATGAAAAATATTATTTTATTGAAAAATGTGTGGTTAAAAATAAGTAGAAGAATGATAATGAAAAAATTAATGTGACTCAAACAGAGGCTTAGCGTGACTTTCGAAAAGTTAAAAGGAGCTTTTGAAACCCAAAATTTATTTTTAGACTCGATTGATTAATTTTATAAAAGTACTTCTAGTAATTGAAGAGTTTACAGAGGAAGTTAGTCCGATGTGATTTTTTCTAAAAAAACATTAGGAAGTTCATTTAAAATTTAATTTTCAATCAGTCTTTAAAAAAAGGTCTTGGCCCATTTTTTCATAAATAGTGACGTTTGCTCACTCAACAAGTCTGAGTTTAATAAAATTTGAGTCTAAGCTAGTACATAAGTTACTCAAATTTATTTATAATTGAACTATGGGATAATTATAAATGAAAGTAATGGTTCGGTTTTCTTCCGCTTCCAAAATTACAAATGGAAAGTAGAAGAATGACAATGAAAAAATTAACGTGACTCAAACAGAGGCTTAGCGTGACTTTCGAAAAGTTAAAAGGAGCTTTTGAAACCCAAAATTTATTTTTAAACTCGATTGATTAATTTTATAAAAGTACTTCTAGTAATTGAAGAGTTTACAGAGGAAGTTAGTTCAATGTGATTTTTTCTAAAAAAACATTAGGAAGTTCTTTTAAAATTTTAATTTTCAATCACAGTCTTTAAAAAAAAGGTCTTGGCCCATTTTTTCATAAATAGTGACGTTTGCTCACTCAACAAGCCTGAGTTTAATAAAATTTGAGTCTAAGCTAGTACATAAGTTACTCAAATTTATTGATAATTGAACTATGGGATAATTATAAATGAAAGTAATGGTTCGGTTTTGTTCCGCTTCCAAAATTACAAATGGAACTAATGATTTCATTATTAAACACATATTGATTCGTGAATCGATTCGACCTTGAATTTACATATTTCGAGCTCCAATAAATATGGTATGTATTTCGTAGGATAAATTGAATAATACTTGTTAACATTAAAATCAATATATAAACGAGAAATCTATTTGTACAGAAAATAGCTACATCCCCGTGTTACAAATGAGCGGCTGGATTAAATATGTTTTTATGGAAAATTGTGTGAGATCTTGTAAGTTTAAATTCTGTATGAAGGGGGTAAACGGGGATATACACGTAGCAAAGCTTATAAATTTGGAGAAATGAAAAAAGCAAAAGAGTAGTCATAGAGTAGAGTGTCAGACCCGACCACGTTGGAGTCAAACAAGCTAGCGATCCCTTCGCCTACTGCAGCGCGGTCGTCACCATAGCCCCATGCAATTCCAATTTACTATGCTTTTCTTACTTGTCTTCCATCTAAACTTTTGGTACATCAACTATTATTTTTTTCACTTTCCTTTTTCTTCAAGCATTGAATCACTATCCCAATGAAAAATATTTCTTTATAAAATCCAATGCTCCAACGTACTATACACGTATATAGTAATCTCAATTATATGTTAATAAATAGTGGGAAAATTCAAAACCAAAAAAAAAAAAAAAAACAATATGCCATTCCCTTTTGCATTCACAAGCAAACATCCCATGCTTTTAATTTCTTTCGTACCGTTTTCACTCTAAACATGGAGTCTATCTATATTTGCAATAAAGAAGTCTAGTCTAATTGCAGTATAATCTTCCAGCCAGAGACTTATTATTCATATCGATCATTGTTTTTTCTCTTGAAAAAGAAGTGAATAGTTCAGACTTGTGATTTTCGAATCGTATATCGATAGCTTGATCTTGAAAATATAATAAATTCATGACATATATATTTGGTATGCTCAAGTGATAGGATTCTCTCGTACATTGAAGAGTATAGTGACATTTGTTAGGGGACTCGAAATTCAATTCTTTTACATGTATATTATTGTTTACATTAATTTTGACCTTCTTCCACTGACATCCATCCTAGCATTTGATTTTCCCAACACTCTTTTACATTATTAACCAAAATTTGACCGATAGGAGAGCATGTAATCCTTGTTGCAAACAACAATGTACATATATAGAATAATTCCTCAAAATTTTAAGTGAAATTTGAATTTGTACAGACAATTAAGGCAGCTTTGAAGTTTGAAAATGATAGGTCTCCAGGTAAGGGCGGTTTCAGACCAACCCCCGACATTTGTGCTCTCTTCTTCTATAAATATACAATACAATATATGCAAAACAAACACATATTTACAAAAGTTTACACACGAACGCAACTCCCTGGCCCACCCACGTTCGTGACCTAAATCCTCCTTTCATTCAGTTCTCTTTCTGATTTGTATTCTGTAAAGAAAAGTTTGATCAAGAACATCTAAAACAATGAGCAATTTCGATTCACAAAGGCAAGAATCACTGAAGAGGCGGTGGCAGGAGCAGTTGATCAACCATTCAAGCCCATCAAATTTCTATAGCAATCTAAATAACACGGCTCCCTCGACAGTGCCCTTCATGGTAAACCCTAAGCGTCTCCAAACTTTTTCGGGTTTCTTGGACGATGATCTTGTTTCATCAGTGGTGCCACCAGTGACGGTGGTGTTGGAAGGCCGTTCGATCTGCCAGCGGATCAGTCTTCACAAACATGGAAGCTACGAAAGCCTGGCAAAGGCTTTGAGACAAATGTTTGTTGATGAGGATGCATCCTCGTCATCTGATAATGATGTTGATGTTGACCTTTCAAATGCTATTCCTGGTCACCTCATTGCATATGAAGACATGGAAAATGATCTTCTTCTTGTTGGTGACCTTAAATGGAAGTAAGATAATCACTTATTTTGTAGTACTTTTTGCTGCTGCTTTTTCTTTTTTTGGTGGGTGAGTGAGAGGGAGCAAAATCTTGAAATTTATATTCAAGATCTAATAATTATTTGCATCTGCAGGGATTTTGTTAGAGTGGCGAAAAGGATTCGAATATTACCAGCAAAGGGTAGATCAAGAACACAGAAAAGGGAGATGAATTAAATTAAATTGCTGCTGGTTGATCAGTATTCAGTTCTACGAAGCTTGAGAAAATCCTGGAAACCCTTTCTGAATTGAAAGGTCATTGAACTATTGTGCGTGGAGAACTTAGCTAAAGAACTTTTGAATTATGGAACCATTGAAAATTATAAGTTGTATTCTGTAAACCAATGTTTTCCAATTATCTGGAGTAAAATATTTCCTTCATACAATTTATCTTTAATTAAATCATACTGTGCTTGATCGATGTAAATTATTTTTTGTTTTGGGTAAAACTCATTAGCTTATTTTCAATAATTAGACGGAAGGGATGGAAATTCAATTCATTAATCACAAGGAATACAAAATTTTTTACCCTACAAGTAACAAGAAATGCTTAAATCTTAATGCAGCTACCTTTTTTGATATTTTCTTACAATTATTTATCCGCCACAGGCATCCAACAAAAAACATTTGATGTCACAAACTCATTAATTTTGCTTAAAACATCAATTTTGCCAGTAATTTTTGTCTTTTCAGTTTTTATTAGTGGATAAATAGTCATTTGATCCTTGATTTTGATAAAATGGTGTGGCGTTAAATGCTTGAGGCAGACTGAGAAATTATTTAAAGATTTAACCAATTCGTTCTCCTGGAAGTATAGAAATATTATAATTTACATTGAACAAAAAAGGCCAAAATAGCAATAATAATTAATTAATTGGCCAAAAAGAAGAAAGAAGAGATCAAATCCGTCTTGGGGATTCAAAAATAATTTAATATTTATTGATATAATGCAGCCACAGCTCTTAATTTTCTACACACTAAAAATGTCCTATATATCCTTGAAAGTTAATTCTTAATCGGCTTTTGAAAAGAAAAAGAACTTTACCTGAAAAATTAATTCTTAATCGGCCTGTTTGACAAACATTCTCATTTTCATTTTTTTCCCTCTTTTTTCATTTCAATCACAAATTCTCCAAATAAAATAATATTACACATAAATCTAAAACTTTTGATTATTTTTCAACAACACATTCTTCCATCAATCATTTTTCCAAAATTCATTTTTTCCCCAAAATGGGTGTCAAACACAAGCATTTTATTTGCTATTTGAAAATAATTAGGTAGACTTAAACAAAAGAGACATGTAATAAACAATTTGGTTGCAAAGACTTTCTCCTTGGGCGAGTGTCTCAGCAACACAAAATGAGGGCTTCGCTCGTTATAGGACTTGAGCAAACATCTAACAATATGAACCACGCAACACCTCGTAAACTCAGTAGTCTACAACTGTCCTCTTTTTTGTTCAATTATAAATAAATAAGCCATGTCCATTCCAATATACAAACATGCCATTTGCCACTTGCAAGTTACAAACATTATGCCAAAAATCTAATAATGTTAAAACAGCTTTGTTTGGTGAAATTATGGACCAATTTTAAGTAATTAATAGTGGTTTTTTCATGTGCTTAATACACCTAATTAAAGAAACAAATAACTGTGGTCCATCCTATAATCTTAAATAATCAAATTTACTTTTAATTTAATTCGTGCATTATACAAGAATCTTAAGTCCCGTCCTATTGCATTATAGATTCTAATTTTTTCTCTGTCCCTTTTCTTTTCTTTTTTTTTTTTTTTTCCGCTTTTATTCCCATCGACCATGGATCGAATTTCGCGATAAGATAGAAAGGTCGGTTTGAACTTGGAGGCAAGAAGCCCCCACAAGGCACAATTTTAACGTAACTATAGAAGTATAGTTGACAGCTCATACATGCATTAAATCACTCTAATATAGGGCAAATTGTTTTTAAACAAAAGCATTGTAAATTTAACCTATGTTTGGCTCATTTTATAAATTGTTTCAAAACATTCAAGTCACTTTTATCCACACATTTCGAGAAACCCACAAGTAATACTCATTTATTCCACACTTATTCCATTTATTTATAATTTAAATCGTTTATAAACAGTTATCATGTTTTTCCATTATAGTGAAATCCTGTAACAATAAAAGAATGCAACTCTTACATTAAGAGCGAATCACTACAAATCGTGTAATTTAGATTGCTTCAATTTTGGTTTTGTATCAATGATTCAAAAAATTGAGTTCTTAAATTCAAAGTAGAAGTAGAGAATTAACTTCACACAGTAGCTAGCATGCCCATGGATCTGAGAATTTTGTCCTCAGCCAACTTTTTGGAACTTAAAAAGCAAGTCGAACTGCTAGCCAACGTGCAATAAACCAGCATTTAAAGTATCAGATACATTTAGTCAAGAGTCAATAACACAAACGACATGGGAAAAGGGCAATCCAGAATAGTACGTATGGTTTACGTCGTTTTCGCGGTGCATTTAAACAATGTCATTTTGTCAAGCCGTAGATTCGTATCACAACAATTTAACAAAAAATCAATGCAATCCCATCAAAATACTTATCAAAATTCATCGAATTGTTTATCAACATATATAAAACGTACATTGATCATGACTAGATAAGTATATCACATACGCGTGAAAAGTTCATCCCACATCAACGCAACCACTTGCATGCTCACGAGGGAATAATTGGGTCACATTCGCAATATTACTCCACACACAAGCAAGTCGTCTATGAAATCCAAGTTGCACAAGTAGGAAATTTTTTTTTAAAAAAATAAACAAAATTAATGTAATGAATAAACAAAATATTATGAGCTTCAGAGGTTTGACATGCATTCTTATTGCTTTAGAACTTTTTAAGACTACTGTTCATAATCTTTCATCGACCCCACGATGTCAAATATTCCATACCTACCTCACCATATAAATGCTGCATTTGCCACATATAAGATCAATTTTCTCTATAAGATCCAATAATTTGGAGACACGTATAAAACAGCACCTGACCAGATTTCTTGAAAAGTTTTCTTACAAGTTATGATAAATCATCAACCAATTACGTATGAGACAGTGCCAAGTCACTAACCCTATTTGATCCCATTTTTCAAATTTTATTTTTTCTTGAACTAAGTTTCAACCACATATTTCATAAAACTCACAACTTTTATTAACTTTTCGATCATATATTTTATCAACTTTTATCAAAATCTACTAAAAATTTAAATTTTATTTAGCTAAACCAAACCAGGACTAAATAATATAAAGTTCAAATATTCCACACCTACTTCATATAAATGTTGCAAAAAAAAAAAAAGGATCATAACAATTAACCTTTACAATAATGCTAAATGTACAGTCATCGGATTACATAGAGAATAACATCCCCATTTGTTTTCAAAAATTCTAGGAGGAAAAAGTTTTTGTTTTTTTTAAACTATCCAACGGTGTGTTGCCATGTGGTACAATGTAAACAATGATATAAAAGATGATAATTGTAACAATTATATTTCATTTCGATGTAGATCCAACAATTTGGAGGCGCATAAAACCGCACCTAACAAGATTTCTTCAAAAAGTTTTCTCATAAGTTATGATAAACCATCAATCATTTATGTATGACACGGTGCCACGTCACTACATAATCAAGAGTGCAAAATGTTCAACTAATTGTGATTGCTCACGAGAACAATAGCAAATAAATAGTAGAATCTCTTTGACTCTAGAAATTAATGTTCTTTTTTGCATAATCTGAAGTTCACACATATTCCGTAGTATAATTATGGTTAATTCAAGGATGCGCAAATTGCAGTCTTAACATAAAATATACTTCTGTTTGAAAATCAATGCAGTGCATATCTGAAGAAATTACCACGAATTAGATCTCTCAAACAACCTCTTCCAGTGGGGTTTGATGGGTAGACCAAGAAGAAATATAACAGTATTCAACAGTGTGATTAGCACGCTCCATTCTGAAAAGGAGGCAGACCCCAATCACTTGGGTTAAAATCCACTAGGGATCTCAGAACCTGATCAGCAGTTTCGTGAAACGCGCTATCCAATCTTGGATCTGGAACCATGACAACTGACCTGCATGCAATATGCGTTCAGACCACAGAGTCACCAACAACTGTAAAGCCTACATTAAAGTACTTTCATGCACTCTCAGCTAGAGACTGGCAGAAAACCGTGATAAACAATACAAATCGTTAATGTTTAACCTGCAACAAAGTCTGACGTGCACTTTCTGTTTAAAGAACGAAAAAAAATTAGTTTGATGAAAAAATCTAGGCTACCAATTAGCAACAAAGGTGGAAAAGAGGTAAAGGTCGGACAAGAATATATATGTAGATGATAACACAAATGCTAGAGAACCCTGCTAACCCGAAGTGATTTAGAAAGATTCTTCTTTATTGATGGTTATCGGTCTTGGTATCCATATATTTGCTTCTTTTTCGGGCAAATCCTATTTCGTTTTGCTTCTCTCGATCGTCAAGCTTGATTGACTCGAGTATTTTCTGTGACCCCCAGCCTCTCACTTGTTTTCGTTCACACCCGATTGGGCCGACTTTTCCAAATTCCAACCATACGCCCTTCACCTTTCCAAGTTAGGATTTTTTTGCGTTGTTTCAATCATCATGGTCGATAGAAAAGAAAGAAATCGATGAATGTTCCTCAGAAAAATGTTGAATAATACACCTATCGAGACGAAAACCAAAAATGAGTCTCATAGGAGGACATATCAAACCGAAATAAGATCTCATATTAACATCTTTATACACTGAGTTACCATAATAATAAATAGGCAATGGTGACTCCACCTCTTCTTGCTTGATAGAGGGATTCTTTTCGCCAAAACTCTTGAGGCTCAAACCCTGATCACAAACCCTGATCAATGATGTGCTCCTAGAAATTTTGGCTCAAAATCGTGTTCTGCTGATACACATTTTTACTAGTGGAAACCTTTTTACAAGATGATGACATGTGTTCAAATTCTGGCCCTTGAATTTTCGCCTTATTGCTCTATGATATATATACGTGCACAGTGTTTGATGTTTTGCATTCTTCTGCCTTTCGAGATTCTTTCAACCTTCTGGGTTCTTTTGAAAGACGCCTTGCCTTATTCTTGTAAATTACGGTTT